CAGGTATGTTGTCCAGGCCGCAAGCTGTAGAACAGTCTAAGCAGGAAACCACTTTAGACACGGAAGCTGGAGTGATATGGATGTCGAGCAATGGATCAACCTGTTTGACGGGTATATCAGGTAAAACGCAACTAATGGCATCAAGAGATGATATTGATGAAAAGTTCTTGGCAAACAATTCAGCTTTGTCTTTAGGTGAGGTGACAAAGTCTGAACCATACATAAGAGCTGGAATTACAGACTTGCCCTTATTATTGATACTATTAAAGATTCTCCAGAAGTCACGAGAGGCTGATTTTTGTGATGAAATATGAGATTTTATGATCTGAGAATAGCGGGCTTTGGCGTTAGACAAAACCTTTTTACAATGGTTCCTAGCAGTCATAAACAGACGTCTGTTTTCTGGAGAATTGTTTTGCTGATAGATATGGAAGTAATGGTTTCAATTGGCAATTGCAGCAGCACAATGTAAGGAGAACCATGGAGAAGAGTGAGGCTTGACCTGGAATCGTCGAGAGGGAATAAAGGATTCCATGCCAGCCTGAATCCACGAAGTTATGTAGGAAGCACATTTGTCAACAGGAAGACGAAAGCTTTCTATCCAAGGGCTATCACGAAGAAAATCATGGAAAGAGTTCCAGTCAGCTTTAAGGTAGTTGTAAGATGTACAATAATAGAGGGATTCTGATGATAAAGAAGAATGAGATAATAGATTTAGAGAGACCAAACCATGATCGGAAGCACCTAATGGTGAGTGTGGAGAAACTGAGCACTGACTAGGATTAGAAACAAGACATAAGTCAAGTAGAGAAGGTAAATGATTCAGGTTGTCTGGAAAGCGAGTTGGAAAGTTGACTATTTGAGTTAGGGATTGAGAAAGGCAAAAGTTGTGGGCTTTGATGCCTGGAGAGCCACTGACACTAGAGCCAAGTATTACTGACACTAGAGCCAAGTATAGAGCCATTCAGTATGATGAACATTAAAGTCACCAACAACATCAATATTAGCTGATGGATAAAGAGAGAGGGCTTGGTCAATATGATCAGAAATAACATCAAGAAGAGTGCAATCTTGAGATGAAGGAGAGTGATATAAAACAAAGAGAAAGGTGATAGAGTGAAGTGGTGCTAAACAAAAGAGTAGTCTGTGGATTCAAACTTAGTTTCCCAACAAATGGGTGAATTCTTATGAATGTAAATGCCTAGGCCAAGCATGTGACTATTGGAGTCTTTACGAATTAAAATAAGATAACCATCAACACCAAGATCACAAGATGAAACAGCCCAACTCAAATTAGTCTTACAAAGAGCAAGTAGGTCTAGTGAACTTTGCAAGAGATAAGACTCAACAGAAGAAAATTTACTTCGAAGGCCACGAATATTAGTGAATGATAGGTTTAGCGAACTTGGTGATGACTGTGGTTTTTTGTGTTTTATAGTTTTGTTACTTTATTCATTTTTAAATTTGTTATAGAACTTGACTCGAAACATAGATAGTACTCAGTACACTGTTTTATAGCCCAAGCAATTGCCTCATAAACTAATAAACCTTAAGCTGTAACAAAGGGTTCCAATGTGGCCTTGGCAATGCACACCAAAGGTACAAACAGGGACACCATCCATGCGCAACATGGCACTGTTAGTACTTTGATATTTTTCAGCTGTTGATGAAATCAGCCACTTGGAGAGCTACCACAGAGTTCGGGAAACCTGACTACCAGCCAGCCTCAGAACCATAAAACTGAGTTTTAGAGCTGTACCCTCATTTGGAGATAATAGAATGAGTTGCACAAGCAAAACCAACAAATCGAGTCAAGAAGATCCAGCGTTCAACATCTTGAACTGGAAACAATGTATTAAAAACACATCTGCGCCAGCCTAATAGATGAAGAAGGGGTGCAAGGCTGGTCAACAGATAGAATCTATTTACCCCTCAAATCTTTGCCTAGGAGGCCTTCTACAAGACAGCAGCTGGATGCATTTAACATCTGCCCAAGATGAGTATTTTTATCGAGACACTATCTCTAGCCTTTACTCAACCAAGAGCCTCAAAGCAGGGGGTGTTTTATATCAGAGTTGGCATCTCCTAGCCTTTGCCTAAAAAGGCGTATCCTACAAGGCAGCAGGACATGAAGCAGATTGTACTGGGTTACATATTGCCAGTAGCAGGATTAACCTGACCTGACAGATAAATTGATTTAACAAATCAAGCTCAATCAAGGAGAAATGAAAATAACTATAAGGTCCACTGACAAGACTAAAGATTAAATTAATGGTGAATTAGCATTTACAGAAAGTATTTACAGCAACAGTATATTAGTGGAGTCTATTCTTTGTATCTCAAGAGTTGCTAAAAATTTGTTTGACTTAATGTGTTATTGTGTTGTGTTTTTCATTTTGACTTTTCAATTTGGCTTTTGGGTTTAAAATTAAGTTCAGAGCCTGAATCTGAGAAAGAATAAACACTAATGGAAACCATGATAACCATGGAAACTTTATATGTATTGATATCAATTAATCAAAACAATTAAACAAGTTAATTACAAAAGCAAGAGGTAATGCCTACAAGTTGCCACTTTTCTACACCATAGCTTTTTAAATGAAAAGTAATAATATCAAATAAGTAAACAATCTTAAATGGTTTGTCTGGTTACACTGATTACAGTGATTGAGGCTAGTATAAATATTGTAGTATTTAGATTCTGCTAAAAACATTTTAATAAATAAAATATTAATAGAACTTAACAACTAATGTGGTATATAGCGATAAAAAACTCAGCTCACAACCATGAGGGTTTGGGTTCAAATCAAGCCTAGGCTTCTAAAGCATGTTATTATGCTTCCGAGTAAGTAATTTAAAAGAGTTACAAAAACAAAATTAAAAAAAAAGGAGTACTCTCTTTGACTGCAGTGGAGGTGAACTTGGTTTTTATAAAATATAAAAGCTGATGAAAAAATTTAAAAGCTCATGAACTAGCTCATTAAGATATAGAACTTTTACAATTATTTACATATTGACATATTATCTTAATTTTATAGACAAAATGGGGTCAAAAAAAATATTATTTAAAATCATTTGAAAAATTACTGTGGGGTTATTCTGTATAAATTCACAAAGTGCTAAAGTATTGCCACAGATTTGCTCAAAATTTTGACCACTGCAGATTTTAAGAAAAAAACTTAATCATGATAACTTCAGCTAAATTGACTGATCTGCTCAAAAGTTATAATTGCATTGATATTTAACATTTTTTTTTTTTTTTGACAGACCATAACTTTTGTTCATTGTTCTTTCACAAAGTTACATCCTATGGTCAAAAACAAACTATCCATAATCAATTAAGTGAAATAATTCAGTGACAGTGCTTTGTCACAGTACAAAAATTACAAATGTCCAATAAACTTGACATATCACACTGAAGATCACAAAAAAAAAGTTAAGCATCACTTCTTTGCTACAATTCATGGCAAAAGCCTATGTAAAGGAATGAGAATGAAAAATACTTGAGATATGGATTGAAAACCAAAATGTAATGTCTAGTTCATGCATAGAAACTAATTATACTTAAAATGGACTAATGATACACAATCAAGTCAGCGTTGAGTTCCATTTGACAAAGTAATATGTCAAATAAATGCTCCATCCAGTATGAACACTAGGGTGATGCTATTTTTTACTTATCAGGATTACTGAAGTATAACTATCCTTAATTAGAGAATATTTATATCGTTTTTAAATTAAATGAAGTTAATAGTTATTATATTATAAATTTAGCTTAACTTTCATTATTGGAGTAGAAACCAAGTACTTTTATTTAATTTTCACATAAAACAATTTATATCTTACTGGGCTACATTTTAATTCCCGAAGAAAGGCAATCATTGAAAGAAATAGCTAAGTTTATTAGCTGCTCTTGGTCACATGCATAGTTTAAAATGATGGAGGAACCCAATTGGGAGTACCTAAAAGAGGCCACATCAGCCTGCATTACAGCCCAAGAAGCTCTGACCAGACATATTCTTGGTAATGAAGTCACATTAAAAAATGTGCATAAAATGAATAAGGTTGCTGAGGGAGAACTTTGACTTATGGACATACGAGCTTACCAGGCTAAGTCTGATGATGCCTAATGAACAATAATCAAACTTTTCAAACTTTGTTTTATTATAGTTTGAACGGTAAAAAAATCAAAATAAAATAAAAATAGGATTTTTATCTTATTTCTATAAAGTAACTTTTTTTTTTGGACTTAATAAAAATTTTTAAAATTTAACAATTTTTTATTAAATTGTGTTCAGGACACAATTATTCATGTATTAAAAAAGTTTTGACATAATATTTAAAAAAAAAAGTTATTATAGCATCACCCTAATGAACACTTGTGACTACTATCTTGCTTGACAATAATATAAATTATGTAAATTAGAGATAGAGAAATTAGTGTATCTGTGTTTCATATGTATATACGTATATTTTATGTAAAACATCCATAGTAAAAAGTTTCATAATTTATTTCAACTGTTTTATTGAATATAAATTTAATATACTTTTTTTAAAAAGTGATATTTTAACAGGCTGCTGAAGTGTTAAATTAACTTTTAATGCAGTTTTTAAGTTTAACATGTTATCCTAAGCACACTAAAGTAACAAAAAAATTAACTTTCCCTGCATGTAGGAATTGAAATGTAGCACATTGAAGCTTTGAATTTTTTTACTAAAACTGCATAACTTAGCAATTTTGAAGCACAATAACTTAAAAACAATTTGAAATCAGTCAAAAACACCTGTAAAAATGGATTATTTGAGTGAAAATCTATTACTACACAAAATTCAAGATCATTTTTATTTATGCTATTTATGTATATTTTATAAACTGCATACTTATAAAAGTTTATTAAAAAATAAAAGGCAGAACATATATTGTAAACCAATTTTGTTACAAATAATGTCTTTTTTTCTGTAACTTAGAAAAAGAAAAAAAAAGAACAATAAAGCAACACCTGCAATTCATTTCGACGATTTTTTTCTTTCATAGCTGTGGTAACAACAGTTACAATGGGTCTCCTAACTTCTGCAATAATTTCAATCAGAGTTTCCATGAAACGATTTTCATTTTTTTCCACATCAGCATATCTGTCAACTAAAATTTGAATGGAAGAAAGAGGAATACATTCAGTCACCAATAAATCTCTAACTAACTGCTGCAACCTCTTCCTACCAACTTCATCGGAAAAATCAAGCAAACCAGCAATCTTTAATAAATACTCAAGAATAAACTCTGGTTGGTCTTCTTTTCCTTCAAACGCTGTTAATAAAGCTGAGTCTATGAAATTCTTTTCTGCATAACTAATCATTAAAATAAACAAATAAGATTTTTATCCTAAATACTCCATAAAATTTATAATTATATTTTATAATTATCAAATATAGATAAAAGA